GTGTGAGGTCCCGGGATAAGCGGTGGGAGCAGCGTGAGGGTCTCAGGGAGGCTCTGAGGGATGTGGGAGGTCCCGGGATAAGCGTTGAGGGCGGTCAGGGTAAAGGGGTTGGTTGTCCCTGTGCTGGGGTAGGACAAGGGGAGGGTGAGGGAAGGACCTCATGGGTGGATGTGAAGTGCTAGGGAGAGGATGTGGAGGGACAGCGCTGAGCTCTGTGGCCAGGGGCAGGAGCTAGGGAATGGCTGGAGGTGTGTTAGGGGAGTGGATATTGGGACAAGGTTCTTCCCCCACAGGTGTTTGGGCACTGAACAGCTCCCAGGGCAGTACTCACAGCCCTAAGGCTGACAGAGCTCCAGGAGTGTTTGGCCAATGCTCTTAGGCACATGGTGGATTGTTGGGGTGTCCTGGGCAGGGCAGGAGTTGGACTCAATCCTTGTGGGTCCTTCCAGCTCAAGATATTCTGTGGTTCTATTAGATAAATCAAGGTGTTGGTGCTGCTAAGCTCACTCCAGGCTGTGTTGTTTTCCTTCCTTAGGCTGCAGAGTCCATTCTCCGTCCTGGATCGGTTCCATCCTGCCTCGTTGTCCCAGTGAGGACCAAGAGGAAATTTTCAGTCCCCGAGTGGGCCAGAGAGCTGAGCCCTGAGGAGAAGGAGAAGAGACTCAAGTTTTCAGAACCAATATTTCCAGATGAACGCGTGGAACGGACATTCTACTTGGCTTGCACAGGTGGCACAGCTGCTTCAGGGAATAAAAATGGGAATTAGCCTCTCTGTGTCCCTAATTTTGCTGGTTCTGAGCCTCCTGCTGTCCTTCTCCCTCTTTCCCAGGTGACATCATCGATCCATATGTCCCTCCTGAGGGTGATGCCCGTCTGACCTCGCTGTCCAAAGATGGGCTGAAGCAGAAGATGGAGAAGCTGAAGCAGACAGCAGCCTCCCAGCTGGCGTGAGCACTTCCTTCTCAACTCATTCATTAACCTGACACTGGGATGTGCTGCCCAGGGAGGGCGTGGAGTCACCATCCCTGGAGGTGTTGAAGGACAGACTGGAGGTGTCACTCAGTGCTATGGTGTAGTGGATCTGGTGGTGTTAGGTCCTAGCTTGGACTGGATGATCTCAGAGGTGTTGTCCAATCTTCATAATTGTGTAATGCCCTCCCAGGTCAGATCCAGGACCCTCCATCCCATCCCAAGTCAGACCCAGGGACCTCCCATGCCATCCCCTCCCAGGTCATATGGTTGGTGATTCCCCAAGGTCTCGACTTTGTCTGGTTCTTTCTTGTCTCTCTGCCTTCAATGGACTCAACAGCTCCTCCCAAGATTGTATCATCTGCAAATTTCCTTCCCAGTCCTCCAAATCTTGTGTCCGAGTCGTTTCTGGAGAACTTGAAGAGCTCTATGCCTGAGCTGGAAGTCCCTAGTGGAACCCAGTAGTGACTAGTTGGAGTCTGATGTCATCCCATTGAGCATAACCCTTAGCAGCCAAGCCAAGGGTCCCCAAGGGGGGATTAGAGACTGGAATATACTGCCTAAAGAGCTGTTGGGGTCAGGAGAGCCTGGAGGTGTCACTTGGTGCCATGGTGTAGTTGATTTGGTGGTGTTAGGTCTTAGGTTGGACTGGATGATGTCAGGGGTGTTGTCCAAGCTCAGTGATTGCGTGATCCTATCCTGGGTCATACCCAGGGACCTCCATTCCATTCCCTCCCAGGTCAGAACCAGGGACCTCCATCCTGATAACTGAGATCATTCAGAACATGCAGAACAGCTCCAGTGTGTTTTTTCCTGACTGCAGAGCTTTCCTTGTCATTTCAGCCTGAGGAAGATCAAGGACCACGACTCGGAATTCAGCACTAAAACCTTCCCAGAGAAGGCTCAGGAGATATTCATTGAAGCTCACAATTCCCTGGCAAAGTAAGACCCTTTCCCTCACTGATGTGGTTGTGTAGGACTTGCTTCCTTTTGCCAGGATGCTCTGGTTTTCATGGAATCATGGATCAGTTTGGGTTGGAAGGACCTTCGAGCTCATCTTGTTTCACTCCTGCCATGGGCAGGGACACCTTCCACTAGCCCAGGTGGCTCCAAGCCCCATCCAACCTGACCTGGAACATTCCCAGGGATGAGGCTCCATGGCAGGAACTGGGACTGGAGGAGCTTTAAGTCCTTCCAGCCCAAACCATTTCATGATTCCATGAAATGACACTCGACTGCCTTGCTCCAATAACATATTTCCAACCTGCATCACTTTTGGTTCCAACTCCAAACATCAACCAAACATTTGGGTCAGAACTAGTTTCCCCCAGTGTTGTGTCCTTCCCTGGAGTCATGTCAGGCAGTTCTCATTCATGGCCTGAGTCCATTTCATTGAGACTTTAGCTTTCTCTGTTTTCCCACTACCTTGTGTGTCCCCTGGGAAAACAGGAATTTGTGAGGAAACCTCCTTGTTGTCTTCCAGTAACTGGTTGTGTTTCCTTTGCAGTTTCAACAAGCAGAAGCTTCACTCCCTGGTGACTGAGCGCTGCTACCCTGTGAGTGTTTGTCTGGATCACATCATAGAGCCATGGAATACCCTGAGCTCAAAGGGACCCACAAGGATCATTGATCCATGCTCTGCACAGGACACCCCAAAATCCCACCCTGTGCCTGAGAGTGTTGTCCAGACACTCCTGGAGCTCTGTCAGCCTTGCCTTGGTGCCCACTGCCCTGGGGAGCTGTTCAGTGCCCAGACACCTCTGGGGGAAGAACCTTGTCCTGATATCCAACCTAACCCTGTCCCAGTGCCCAGACACCCTCTGGATGAAGAACCTTTCCTTAATATCCACCTAGTCCAACCTGGCACAGCTCCAGCCATTCCCAAGTCCTGTCACTAGTCACCAGAGCAAAGCTCAGTGCCTTGATCTCTTCATGGTCTATAAAGCTCTCTAAACTTGTTCATGTGCCTCATTTTTTCTGGATCTCTTCTATGATTTTTAAGGCTCCCTAAACCTGATCATCTCTCTTTTTTTTTTTTTCTGGATACATCCAAGACAGAACTGGGAGATAAACCAACAGACTAATTAATGGCTAATGACTAAATCCTTCATTGTATACAGCGATTTCCTTGTCGCTCCATTCACATCCGCATTAAGCTGGGGCTTATTTTTATTCCTTATAGGAAATGGTCCGTGGGAACAGGTACAAGACCATCAGGTGGAGCTTTGTGGAGTCTCTGGAGCCTCCCAGGGTGGTCCACGTGCGCTGTGACAGCATCGTGAACCGAGGGAACCTGTACGGGCAGGTGACAGTGCGGATGCACACGCGGCAGGTACGTCCCTGGGCTTGGGAGTCATGGAATGGGTTGGCTTGGGAAGACCTTAAAGCTCATCCCATCCCACCCCTGCCATGGGCAGGGACACATTCCACTAGCACAGATTGATCCAAGCCACATCCAACCTGGCCTGGAACACTCCCAGGGATGGAGCAGCCACAGCTGCTCTGGGCAACCTGTGCCAATGCCTCAGCACCTCACAGGGAAGGATTTATCCCAGTATCCCATCTATCCCTGCCCTCTGACAGTTTAAACCCATTCCCTCTTGTGCTGTCACTCCAGGCCCTTGGAAACAGTCTCTTGTAGCTCCTGCAGGCACAGGGAGGTCACAATTAGCTCACCCCAAAGCTTCTCTTCTCCAGGCTGAACCATCCCAACTCTCTTAGCCTTTCCTCACAGCAGAGCTGCTCCATCCCTCTGATCACCAACCCCAATCTGCTGCCAGCCCAACACAGAGAATTCCTGACTGGTTTGGGTTGGAAGGACCTTAAAGCCCATCCAGTGCCACCCCCTGCCATGGCCAGGGACACCTCCCACTGGCCCAGGTTTCTCCAGGCCTCATCCAACCTGTTTTTTTTTTGGCTGGTTTTACAGATTTTGGCCATCTATGACCGCTTTGGGCGCCTCATGTACGGAGGGGAGCAGTTGCCCAAGGACGTCTTGGAGTATGTTGTGTTTGAGAGGCACCTGGTGAACCCCTATGGAACATGGAGGATGCATGGGAAGATCGTTCCAGCCTGGGCCCCACCCAAGGAGCCTATCATTAAGGTAATGCCTCCAGGAACAGGCTGGCAAAGAGAGATCCATGATTAGTTCTGGACAAAGGCAAAGCTGAGCTGTCTGGAATGGGAAGGTGGTGGGTTAATCCCCAACCAACCTGTTCATGCTGTGGCATTGTCTCTTGGATGCACCTGGAAGCTGGAATAGGAGGCTGAGGGCAGGTGTGTGATGATTTAGGGGCTGTTTCTCTCTGTGCCTGCTCTGGCAAAGTGCTGCAGGTGCTCTGTCTCCTTGGGTTACTGCAAATAGAGCTTAGAGGGGAAGGAGGTGAGAATTCCAGGGAGAATTCATGTGTATCCCATTCCCCCTCCATCCATCTTATCCCCTTCCTTTCCCTTGCCAGAACCCTCTGCTCCCTCTTTGTCCTGCTCTTTTAACATGAATAATCCCCAGCACAGCAGTCCAAGGTTCCTCATGATTTTGTTCCTTGCTTTTCCAGACGGTGATGATTCCTGGCCCAACCCTGGATCCCTCCCAAGAGTATGAAGAAGTGAAGTAGGAAGTTCTGGAACCTGGACAGGGACAGCAGTGCAAACAGCCTGGGAGGAGGAATTGGGAGTGCCTATGGAAGCAGTGGGTTGGATATGGCTGTGCCTTCCCTGGGAGCAGTCAGCAGACAAAGTGGCTTCAGAAATGGACTCCAGTCACTCTAGATTTGTCCTTGAAGCAAGAGGGGCTTGGGAAGGGGATTTGGATGAGGTCTGGGAAGAGCTTTGCTCTCTTCAAATAGACTTTGTGTGCTGCATTTTTGCCCTCTGTGTCCGTGAGGATGAAGAGTCTGTTCTCTTCAGGACCATTCTCAGGCTTTTCTCTGTCCTGAGCTTCCATTGTGAGAGCTCTTGGCTTTTGGAGAGCTCTTGGAAGTCTGTCCAGACATGGGATATTTGTCACTTCCCTGGGAAGTGTGACAGACCTGCTGGGCTTTCATTAAAACTTCCACCAGTAGCTGTTGGCACATTGTGTTCCTGTCCCCTTTCCCTCTCTGTCCTGATTCCCAACCTCCTTTTTTTTTTTTTTCTTGAACAGTAAAGAGGGAAAAGCAGCAAGAACACTTTAAATCAACTCCTGGGAGGGGAATTCTGTGTTTGGATTCCTGCCCTGC